AGGAAGATAAGCGCCCGGCGCCCCGGCTCCGCTCAGTTCCAAACCCAGCCCACAGCAAACGAGGAGAAACTCGCCGCGCCTCGGCCCTTAGCACCGTCCTCGTAATTAGGTAAAACAGGGGAATTTTATTAGTATTCGTGTGGACAAGGCATGATTCTAACGGTCGTTTAAACAGGTCACACAGCGGCAAGAGAACTGACGCACGACCAAGGAGAATTTACATCAGTTCCGTGGGAGGAGGGCAATTCCTCAGAAGGAAAATTCCTTGAGACTACCCAGGTAGAACTTAACGCGCCATGGGTGAAGCAGTGACTGCAGGTCACAGCGCAGCACACGCCGGGAGAGATCATCGTGCACAGGCTTTATTGCCCGCCCGTCGTCGCAGCTGGGAAATAATGCCACTTCAGGAACGAGACCCGCTGCAAGCAACCCCTTACGTTTGCAAGCCTGCGTTCTTCAGCAAGGCCTCGCCTTATTTCAGGAATTCGCATTTTAAGGAAGACGTGCTGTTTATATGAGAACGTACTTGACAAGCGTAAACCAATTCGCCCAGCTGTAGCTCACAGAGCTTGTCTTGATCAGTGCACGAGTGTTGGGTGCGGCTGTGGGAAACGCCGGCGAAACCCTAGCATTTCAAGAGCGGATTCCAGAAGAAACCAGGCAGTACTGCCGCCGTCACACAGAGCAATCAAAAGGCAGATAGCTGGGGTGTAATCCTGTAGAGAATTCTGAACAGAGAACAATGTGGTCCTTGTTTCCAACAGGAAGAGCAGCAAAGGAGAACTACTGGTGTGACTGGAGGAAGAAAAGGTCTTACAAGTGGACAGTAAAGAAGTTGGTTTGTTTAATCTAATAAAAATGAAGGCCAAGAAGACCGCATAAAAAGTACATAAGATCAGCACTGTGAAAACAAACCCCTACCAAAACAGGATTATCATGCTGCCACAGAACAGGTGGGGCTAAACGAGCCACTAATCAGCTTAGACACATTAGAAATTACAAGTTCCAAAATCCCCCCAGCTGTTCACAGACTTTTCCAGCAATAGGAAAGGCTAAAAGCCTGCTAACTTTAAAAATGAAGCTCAATTTTAGTTGATGAAGGGGTTTACATTAGAATGGAGCTAGGTAACCAAAAAGCCACTTATATTTCTGTCTTCCGACAAGAAGAAATGAAATGTTTTCTGACAAATATACTGATATTTTTAAAAGCATGACTACCAGAAAACAACCCCAACAACAGAAAAACCCCAGAGCTCCACCACATAGTCCACAGCTTTTTGTAAAAGTGATAGGAGTACAAAGAAACAAAAACCCACAGACATCACATATACAATGATGAAGAAAACCTGACATTTCCCTCCCACTCAAATCTTCAGGGAATATGCCCCAGGCAACCAGTCATGTACAGGAATGTCACCTGAAGTAAGCATTAGACAAAGCAAGCACACACTATTTAAACAGAAGACAGGCTCCTACAGAGAGACTGCCTTGGGAACACATTTCCGCTCTCTGCAGGAAGAGTTTGCTACAGCTAAAAGAATACAAGAGGAAACGTAAGCATGAGCTTAAATTTTGCAGGAACTCCACTGGTAACGTCCTGTCAGAAATTTTACCATAAAGACCACTTTATCCATTCTTCTAATGCCACGCTACAATCTTTCAGAACAGTGGCAATTACTAAAAATCAGCTCATTTTAATTGTTAATTTAATTTTGTTACCAAAAAGTCCATTTGAATGTTTTTGTAGCTACATGTGCTTTTTTGCCACAACTAATTATTAAGACTTAAGATTTTTTTTTCATTTTTGAAAGTTAACTTTTAATCTTTGATCTACCACAAAACAATTTCCTTAAAAAAGAAAACTTCTTAAAAGCAGTAGAAAGAAAGATTAGCCTCACCTTATGGTTAATATTCCTCCCTTTAGTGACCGCTCT